TATTGTTCGTGTGCAGGATCCGCCTCCCTACCCTTTCATTATAAAAGCACAGATCACAACAGTGGCATGTTTATCTTAGCAGGGTGCTAAGCTAAGTCTTACCAACTGAGTCACAGCCCCTGGTTTAGGATTAGAAATGGGTTTACACCAGCTACTCTGAAACATCCAAAACGCAGGGCAAGGCACACGCACAATGTCAGTGCTCAGGCACAGTTTTAAGTGCATAGGCTGAGTATGAATCAGATGAAAGCACTTTTTTATAAGAGAATGAATGCAAGACAACTCTGGCGGAGGAATAGCGGGTTGTTCACAGGCTGATCTCCTTAGCTGTCCTCTGCAGAGAGGTCAGCGGATATGCAGGGCAGAAGCTTACCTTGAAAATGCTTGAATCTGTCCCTAGGCTAGAATTAGTATCTGTGAACACTCTCATTGATGTGTTCACGCATTGAAAGCCCCAGCCAAGAGAGATGCAAATCTCAGGAGGCAAGTAACATCTCTAAGAAGTCCAACATTCAAAGGAACTGTTTCTGCAGCTCATAAAAATTTATGAGTGAACCTGCACTGGCATCATATCATCCTATCTTAAATTGAGTCCTGCCTTTACTATAGAGAAAATATAGGCTATTCGGACAGCTTCATTCAGCAGAGCAGACAAGCGTCCTGCAGGGAAAGCCTCCTGCATGGTCCTGCTGATAGAAAAGTCACAACTTCATTCAAGCCTATGGCCTGCACCCTCGCTACTCTTTTTCCATTTGGCCCCCCTTCTACTGTGAGCTGGCTCCCAGCCCAGAAGACAAGGTGTCTCTTTTCCTCTTCCTTAAGGGACAGGTAGTGGAGCTGGAAAATGGCCTCGTGAGAGATTAGGAGCAGTGTTGAAGGAGGAGGGAGAGCGACCTTACAGCCAGTGAGGCTAAAATTAGTGTAGCAACCTCTGAGATAGGAACACAACCAGCTGTTTTCAGGTGACTCTCTTAAGAAGCAAAAAGTCTGTTGACACTGAGTAGATGAGATAAGGAGGGAGAAGCAGAGAGGCAAAGGCAGGGTGATGGCTAGGGAACAGCAAAGCAGTAAGGAAGGACGGTGTACATCAAGGACATAAAGGAAGATTGAGATAGACAGTTTGGTGCCTCCAGAGAAAGACAGAGGACGTCAGCAGGTAGGATTCAGACAGAAGCGGCATACTGATGTCTATGCAGCCAGGCAACGCAGAGGGGTCTTGGGAGAACAGATGAAAGGACGGTATCTTTGGATGTATTGCATGGTAGAGAAGGAGCAGTATTTCAAAGGAGAGAAGTGAAATACAGGAAATTTGGAAATTAGAGCTGAAATGCAGGAGGAGGAGGAGGAAGAAGAGCTGTTTAGACCTTTAGACGCTCACAGGAGCCATTCACACTGCTGGAGCCTTTGGCAGAAAAACAATTACTTTCCTCTAACTTTGTGGGAAAAATGAGTTCACTGATTGGCAACTGCTTTCCAGGAGAATATAGCTTTTGCTGCTTGATCTGTTAAGTTCAGTATTATGCATTTCACATCGAAGTTGTGACTCTCTCTCAGTATGTAAGAGCCTGCATTTTCTAAGGCCCTGTCAAGAGTGTCTCGGCTTTGCAAGGCATGTGCATCACTTTTAGCTGTTCCTCCTTCAACTCCAAAATCAGCAGGACACCAACACAGGTGAAAGAGGAGGGGAAGAACAGAGCAACATGGCCAGGCTTTCACAGCAAGAAAGAAATCATTGCGTAGGCACCAAGCAGCCCTGAATTTTAATTAGTTCCTTTTCTTCTGGAGGGGCTGAGAAAAATGGAGAACTCTAACAATGGTCTGACAGGTGGGAACACTGCAGGTATGTGAGGACAGGCTAATTTTCAGAATTTGCGGTACAGTTAGACATGCCTGAGCATCTCCTAGGAGTTAGCTGTGCCTTTCCTGTGCCATTTGCAAACTGGAAGGTTTTTTTGTATCTAGATGTTGCTCAATGAGTCAGCTTCTACAGGTACCCGGCTCTCTAGAGAAGCAATTTATTTCCTCAGGACACTCACATGGCTGTATACTAAGGGCTCTGTAGTACTGCTACAACTCAGGACAACAGGCTTGGTCCCTGTTCCCCTTGCAATGCCTTCACCACAGAAAAAGCTTCAGGAATTGGCTTCATTTCTCCAAGTGGGAGTATGCAAACTCTGTCTCCACTTTCCCTCTCCCCATCCCTGTGTTTGGAGGCATCCATGGGCAAGTATTTGTCCTCTCTAACTCCTGCTCAGTGTCAAATCCTTGGAGATCAGTCCCAGTTATGGCCAGCTCTGAGAGCAGCTCTTGCAACACTTGCCCATATTAGGTGGGTGGCCAAGCCATTGGCCAGCTGGCCTATAAAAAACTCCATCCCTTCTACAGATAAACTCAAGGGATATTGTATACTGCCAAGAAGTTAATCAATTAAAAGCTTCTCAACAAAAAAAAATAATTATGGTGACAATTCTTGGTGTTGGGGGTTTTTTTGTTCACTTATTGTTAAAATAACTGCCTAAACAACAAATTCAACCAGCAAAGAATAAATAGAGAAATTATAATTATGAAGAAAAAAAACCTCCAAAGATTAGCCTCTGGTGCTATAATCTTTTAAGTAAAGGCTGCCCTCATTCACACTGAAAAAATAAACACAGGTAAACACATGTGACTGGCTGTGGGACAGAGTTGTGAATTTAACCAGCCTCCTCTATCTCCCATTTTTGTGATTGCGCTCTGCGAGACATAGCAGTTTGGTGGCAGCAGTCTCCTATGTGAAAGCTAAGTCCCAAATGCAGTGCACAGCTCCTGAGGTTCACTTAATCTCAGTTAGACTGGCAGAAAGAATGAAAGAGGTGTCAAGGGTGATACACAGCAGGCCTGCTGAGCCACCCGCTGCCTGGTACCAAAGGAAGAGATCCTCAGCCTTATCAGATCTCCTTGGTAAAGTCTCTGCACATTCCTAAGGAGGGGCTCAAGACTGGGCAATTGGATAACCCAAAGCTCTGGGCAAGGGATGCGGATGAGGCCAAAATATCTTTGATTAGTCAGAAGAAAAGAAAAGCAAAAAATGAAAAAAACCACCCCACCATCCACCCATATCATCTCCAACATTGTGCTGCTGAGCGGACGTGACTGAGTTAGGAGTTCAGAATTCCTCCAGAGCAGAAGTGCTGACCAGATAACTTATCCAACACCTCATTTTTTATAAATAGTGTCCAGTTATTACTGTTTGGGGTTTTTTTTAAACTTGTGTTGCTTTTACACAAGAAAAAGCACTAAAATAAAGGCATTTATAACTGGGTGTGCTTTGCACTATCCTTGTCTCTGTCAGAGCAGGCAATAATTAAGCTTTTGTTTAGGATAAGCACTATTCTTACATTTTCTCAATCGTTTTTTCCAGTGTTTTTAAACCTGTGATCTCAAGCCCTTAGAATTTTGCAGACTATTTCTAAGGAGTCTGAAACAGAAACAAGCGCGTTATCACCAGGTGTAATTTTCTTTGGGAATTTCTCCTCCTGAAAATTCCAAGAGTCCATAAACCTAAAATGATTGGGAAAAGTACCACCAGTTACTTGTAATCCCACAAGTAGAGGATTACAAACACTGCAAAACAAGGGTAGCATTGTGATCTAATTAAAAGTGTTTGTATAGTGAGTACAGTAGTCTGCAAAATAAAAAAGCAGTATTTCACTTGCAGCGTAGAAGTACCATGAACAATAAAGAATTAAAATATTGTTTTCTGCATTACTTCATTCTAGAAGATTATAAGACAAAAGAAGAAAATGAAAAGGCACATACTGGAATTTTCTTCAAAGTAGAAACTAGCTGTGACCTCTTTAATATATTAAACAAATTAATGCATTAAATCTTCCTTCCTTCACCCACGTACGTCCCCGTGGGAAGCAAAATTGTGCCATCTAGTGGGACTTAGACCAGGTCTTAGCTGTGCATTCCCACTAGACACTACAGACACCCTACAGATCACCTCCACTTCAATGTGCTTACGCTGTAGTGTGGACTTTCTGGGATTCTGCTTTGCTCCCATGTTCCCTCCTCTGCTCCAGCTGCAGGAAGGGTCTGTCTGCCCTGCCAGGCTTAGTGGAAGAGAGGACTTGGTGTGCTCAGAAGGGGAATATTCAAAAGCTCAGTTGGGACTTGCAGGATGGCAAAGGTGTCACAAACAAACAGAAAACAGAACTTCACAAGGTCAGGGTCTGAAAATAGCAGAAAGCAGGGCAAACGCAGCAGGGTTGGCTGGCTGGGGGAAACCACTCCTTGAGACGGGCAGCACTGACAAGGCAAAATACATTCGTGTTTCTTGGCTTCTGAGTTGAAGAGAAATGATTTTCAGGAGTATGACAGTAAATTTGAAACACCAAAAGCCATGGAGTTCACCATGGATGAAGACTCTCCTGCTTGGCCAAGCAACGAGCAACTTTAGATTGCTACATTACACAGCCATAGAGCTGGTGTATGCAGAGAATTCGGTAACACAATCAATCTCACTTCCTAGTACGCTTTTGTAACCTTAGTTAAGCAATAGACCTAATAGAGATTTCAGTACAATCTTTTAATCTTTGCCCTGTATGGATTAGTGTATCTTTATGCCAGACAGTCATTTCATTGCTTGCAATTTTTTTCTTCTGTGCTCATAATAGGAGCCATATAATGCACGACTGCAATACAAAAGCAGTCCTAGTGTTGCAAGCAACTGACATACGTATCTAATAAAACCCGATGGGTATCCTTTGAGAGCGCTCGTTATTGACTCAGTCACAACAGGTGAATGAGTAACAACTCTGTAAGGAGTTTTCAGTATCAGTAAAAGTAAAGTTCACTGGCCAGTCCTCAAATAATTAACAACTCTTTCCTCTACAAATGCAGTGAGAAGTGGCCTTTTCCAACAAAGCATAAGCTGTTTTTCTCCATCTCAAAGCATCCCCTGGAATAACTGGATCAGCTCTGCCCACCAGCAGACCTTTTCTCTTATATGAATCAACATGGACAGGAATCTTAAGAATGTTTTGATCATTTCTTTTGGATTTTTACTTCTCTTCACTGCTTATGGAGGACTCCAGAGTCTACAGGTAAGTGGAGCATCTCCCACTGGTTAGCAGGACAGCTGGCCCGGAAGGGCACCAGGCCAGCTGATCGTGTGAAACCCATCTCTCCACGGTTTCTATGAGGAAGGCATGCTCAGTATTTTTTTATGAGGGACATTAGGACATCAGCTTGCTGCAGGTTAGTATTCCCCACACAGATCCATAGCATTTCCTAAATATTTCATTCTGGTACTTCTCAAATAGCTTGAATACTTGTGTTAGACTATTTCTTTATGTCTGCAAAAGTTGTTTGAATGAAAATTAAATTTCTCTGAGATATCTCTCTCAAAAGAAGATAATGCAAAATGGAAAACAAATTCCATTTCTGAAAAGTTTGTGTTTTGAATATTTTTAAATTGCTATGATTTTACTATTATCATACAGCAACATAAAATACTAAAAATATACACCCAATCCATTAAATAATCTAAGTATAAAATAATACAAAAATTCCTGGCATAATGATATAACATAATAATAAAAAATATTGTTTTAAATCAAAGGCAGCTGTGGCTTGTATTGTTATTAACACCTTAAAACACATCATCTTAAGCAGAGATGGCTTTCTAGAATGACTTGAACACTCAGGATGCCATCAGATCTTGCTTGTTTAGCATAGCCAGAATAAAAGACTGAGGGTTACTTTTGCTGCATATGAATACTTCTGAGTAGATAAACACAAAGAGGAACTTCTCAGACTAGAAGACTCTGCTAGTCTAATGACAAGTAAATGGATATAAACCATCTGTGAGCAACTTTAGGCAGGATATTAAAAGATGACTCTGATCAATCGGGTCAGATTTTCCCACCTGTGTGGGAATCTGTATGCTTTAAAGTTGGAGCTCGATACATAACATGATGCACTTGTTCGTAGTAACAAGGCCTGTCTTCTAAGTTTTGGAAGCTGTAGCTGACAAAACAAGGCACATGGTGTTTCTGAAACAAGACCTCTGTGGTCAGGAAGCTTCTTTACCTGTTTACAAAATGACCATCTGATTCTCAAATACATGGACACTGCTCAACGGAGAACCTCCTCACTTCACTGTCCTGATTTCGGCTTCTCATCAAGGATGCCATGCAGCTGCCACCATGGTCCTGCACAGCTGGACCACGCAGCCACTGCAGGGCTTGGAAGCAGCAGCCTCGATCTCCTGCAGCACTCTCCCGTGCTATCTATTCATCCCAGCTTCCATTCGTCCTTCCAAAATCGTCCTGGATTGCAACAGCTTTTAATGAAAACACAAAAATATTAATAAGGAGCATCCTGATCATCTCACTGCAACTTTCAGGCTACCTAGACAAGAGAACTATTTTAAGCATAAAGATATAAAGCTTGGTTAGATCTGTAAAATGTGGGTGAATCAATTACTTCCAAATGCAAATGGCTATTGTGAGCATATGAGGACATTTGGACCTTGGCCTCTGAAGAATTTTAAAACTATCAGACCTGTAGTTTAAAGCAAAAGATCTTCCACTCTTGCTAAGTGGAATGCAATGCAGATCTGATGATATTTCTACCTGAGACAAAAAGCAAGGCCAAGAAAAGAGGTTATTCTTCATTCAGCTTGCTTTCAAAGGGAAACTCAAACTAATTATGTTAATTAGAAGCCTGACTCACCAAAGCTTTTAATCTGATTTTGTATTATATTTTCATAAATGGACTATCATTGTGAGAAAAAACATAAAGCCATAATCAGGCTACTTCAGGGAAAGAAAACAGTAATACCCCATCCCAGCTTCTGTGTCTCCCTATTTCTGCCTGAAGTCACTCTCTGTACAGCATAGTAACTTGTGCTTGTGATAAACTTTTTCTCAACCACTGTTTTTGTCAATGCAGAGCAGTCTCAACTCAGAAGAAGGCCTGGGCGTTGCTTCCCTAAGCGTTCTCTATGCGGCGCTCATCTTATCATCCATGTTCCTCCCTCCAGTCCTCATCAAGAAGCTGGGCTGCAAGTGGACCATCGCAGGCTCCATGTGCTGCTACATCGCATTCTCCTTAGGGAACTTCTATGCTAGTTGGTACAATTTAAATGCTTTAATTCTTTCTATTGTGTTTGAAGAAAATTAGTAAGGCCAAAGTTCTTTCTTCTTTTTCTTCTCAATCCCTACTCTACTTCTGTGTTGCAGATTTGAAAGTTGGATGCAAAAGGTGGCACCTGCATGAAATAGGGATAAATAAATCCAGTGAAACAGAGAGCTGAAAATGTGCAAAAAGTCAGAATGAATCATTTAAAATCCAAATGACTTTTAGGACTGTTTTTTAAAAGATTGAAGGGAAGGCTATCTTCCAGCCAGTGGCTTTGGGAGCAGAGGACCACAGGAGGAGGCCAGCTCCTGCCTTGCCCTTTCAGGGGTAGATGAACAACTTTGCTCTCCAGTGACAGGGGATGCAACTCTGCAGAGGAAAGTTGTTGTGATCCATCTTCCAAGGGCAGGTGCAATTTAATTCTCTACTACAAGAGGATAAGGCACATGAGCACAGGCCTAGCCAGCCTAGTCCCTGGAGACAGCTTGCACATCCTAAACTTCATAAGACTGGCCCTTTTTTGCTTCCATGTAATGGATTTATTGAACCACACAAAGGATAAATCTATTTCTTTGATGTCTATTTTTGACTCTGGATCTTTGGGCAAATGATTACTATGCTAATGGATAACAACTATACTAAATAAAGTGTTCTTTGGCAGGTACACACTAATCCCTACCTCTGTGATCCTGGGCTTAGGAGGAGCACCACTCTGGTCCGCCAAATGCACTTATCTCACCATTGCTGGTACTTCATACGCCATGAAAGCAGGAAAACATGCAAAAGACATTATCAACCAATACTTTGGGGTCTTCTTTCTGATATTTCAGTCCTCTGGCATCTGGGGAAATCTTATCTCATCCTTGATATTTAGCCAAGCTTCCACTGAAGGTAAAATATATTTTTAAAATCTTGGTGCTTCTTTCTATAAAAATCACCTAGTTCTAGACAGTGAAAAGGTAGATTTCCCTGGCTGAGCTGGTGACCCTCAGTTGCCTCCATAGCCAGTGGAAAAAGGCACTTCAACTGTGACTTAGCTCATCTGAAAGTAGATGTTTGAAATAGATGGGCTAAATTGCTCTCTGGCAGTGTCTATTTTATAGCAAGTCTTCATCAGCTATAAAGAGAGTTCAGACAACTTGCTCAAAAACAGATGTTTATTGAATTCCTTTTGAATTCTACCCCTGTGTAGTAAAGCACGGATAGGCTGCTGGCAGTGATGGTCTTCATATCTGACTTCTATTTAAAGTGGATTGCAAAGCTTGTAGTATTGGATTCATTTGCTGTTAAATATTCAAGGTTAGTCAAGCTGATGCTGGGTGCTTGCTAAAAATCAGTGTTTTACAGAATTGCCAAGAAGAAATAGAAGTAGCTGTTGGCAGGAGTCTGTGTGCCAGGGCTCCTCTGCTGTATTTCAGGCTCAGACAGCAGATGCCGATGTAGCTTGAAGAAATCACTCAACAGCGCTGCCCTCATTTCCCGTGCCTGTAATTGGTGTAAGCTTTAGATGGGCAGTTGTGAATATAAATTAATACTTGAACACTGCCTTAGAGATTCAAAGTGCTACAGTGTATTATCACTGCAGTCTCCCATGCATTCCCTATCCTGTCAAAGTCAGAACAGGATGGACATGGAAAGAGCTGCCCATATGCGCTGCTACTATGAATAGCAAGAAGTTACCTCTCTTCCCAGGCTCAGTTAAGCAATGTGTCCTCCGGAGGGTATTCAAACAGGTATTAGGTTAAAACTAAATGTCAGGGAGCTGGCATCAGGCTTTATTTTTGAATCCTTGGGTTTATGGCAAAGTAGAACCATAGAACCATGGAAAAATTTCAGCTGGAAGAGACCTTCACGATCATTGAGTCCAACCTTTGTCCTAGCCCTATCAACCCCACTAAACCATGTCCCTCAGCACAACATCTAACCATCTCTTAAACACTTCCAGGGATGGTGACTCAATCACCTCCCTGGGCAGACTGTTCCAATGCCTGACAACCCTCTCAGTAAAGAATTTTTTCTTAATATCCAACCTGAACCTTCCCTGGTGCAACTTAAGGCCATTTCCCTTTGTCCTATAGTGGTCATGAGGTGTGATACTTCTGGAGAATCATGCTTGTTTTAAACCCAAGCTATTGTAGATGAAACATCATCAAAGCAGAACGTTAAAGGACTGCATCAAGTGCAACAGAGCACTGGTGACCTGACCACTGAGCCACATGATCTCTTCGGAGGGACTGTCCATTCCGATTTCATTTGCAGGGTAGAGCTGTAGTGTAGCTGTGGGGTCTGCACAGATTGCAACCATTTTACTCTCCTCTGCCTCACAGCACACATCATATTAGTAGGAGGACTAAAACACTCTTTTTTTGGGGTCTTGTAAATCCCCTCCTAGTTTAACATCCGATGATATTCCTCTAAATTCTAAAGAAACTCTTTTACTTGATTTTTATCAATTAAATTGGATTTCAGGAAATGCTGTGTTCCTGGGAGATGTGCTGTGAACAGCTCTCAAAGCCAAAGGCCTTGCATATGTTCACAACAGCAATGAACAGTCATATCATGTAGGCTTCCCAACTGTGCCTTCTCAATGAGACTCAGCTTTAATTTAGAGAGGGGGGAGGGAGTAAGGATCTCCAGTCACTCACTTTTTCTCTCCTCTGACAGTGCAGAAAAGGTACCCATACAAAATGTTCTTACACTTAAAATGTATAATTTCACCGAGCAGTTGGAAAGATACGGTACGTATCTGCAGAACCAAAATCCATAAAAGTGCGTAAGTACCCTTGACATATTGCCTGCATCACTGCATCCAGACACAGAAAGGCAAGCTACACCATGAGGTAATACTACAACAGAAGACAGTAAGCAATGTAAACTACAACAGTCATCTTTTCTCACTCATCAATATTGCAGCCTTATTTCCGGAGGAATAGAGCATACCCCGCTTTGCAGCTTCGATATCACTAATTGCACGTGCATCTTCATCTTCAGATGATGCATGAACAGATAAAACTCTTGTTTTACACACTTCCACACTCTATTAGTGTGACTCAGCTTTTGCATATGGTAATTTTGCTGAGGGTCTGTTTGTTCAAAGCTGTGTAGCGGTAGCCACTGGCTATAATAATTACATTATTAAGTTTTGTCTGGTATTGAATGGTTGTTTATGAAGCCATTTAAAGATGTGATTCACACTGCAGTAGCTTTGATTGGAAGCAATGAGAAAAACATACTAAAAGTAGTCACACAATAACCTTAACTGAAAAATTACAGATCGAGTGCTGTTTAAGGAATCAGCCAAGGTACACTGTACTGCCCTTATTATGCTTTGGCCAGCAACCAATTCGGCAGAGAAAGCATTGAAATAATTGCATTGTTTTTTGATCATCCTTACCTGCCACACAGCTTATTTAGACTCACACTTTGTGTTAGTATTCTTTTCTTTATAGAAAGGGTACTGGGGGAAGCGGGCACAGTGTCGTGGTGACACACAGGGTCCATGAGTACAGGCATGTGTGTGGCTTTGACAGATGCCCAGCACGACACTGATGGGATTGAACAAAGCAAAGGTCTTACTCCAAACCCTGCCAAACTGTTCTAGCTTCAAGTATGTTCTCAAAGAGTAATAAAACAAATAATATAGTAACAAAGACAGGAAAAGCTGATTTCTTGGATGACGGCATTAGTGTGTTATTTTCTTATGAGTTTCTCAATCAAAAAGATGTCTCAAGGTGGTTTCTGTTCCTATAATGTCTATAGAAATTATCCAGAGAGGAATAATGTGTTCTGTCTGTAAGAACTGTCCATCAGTTTAATACTGGTGTAAACTGAGGCACCTGTCTTGTGGGCTATTATGATTAAGAGGTACAGATACACACCTGAACTTTAAATATTGCAAACTGAGCTTGGATTTCAGCCTCTGGCTTTAGTCCATGTCTCCATGTAACCACCAATTCCATGTTCTTTCTTGAGCAACTGCTTCTGTAAAACCGCTATTTTTTTTTTTTTGTTAAACATCTCTAATCAGAAATTATTTGAAACCAGGACCAGTCACTAAGTGCTGCATTACCATCTCCTTATATCCTTACACATAGTGTGTACTCCTCTGATCTCTTCTCTGACTCGCCCTTCTTCTGGTTCTCACTGAATTAGTGGAAATCTCAGAAGAAAATCTGGCATGCTGTGGAGCATATGACTGCATGACTGATACCAGCAACACCACTGGGTCAGCAGAACCCTCCAACTCCTTAATCTACACTCTGCTAGGGATCTACACTGGTAAGTAATCCATACAGTCTATAATGAATATCACTGGTGGGAAACCTACTAGTTGTGAAACCTAGCATGACTTCGCAGATCAAGTTTCCAACTTCCTCCTTCAATCTAATTTGCTAAAAGGAAATATGTGAGAACTGTGAACAACTCCTTCCTAAATAGTTTCAAATACTTTGTGCCACTGCTGTGTCATTTTTGTCCAAAGGAACAACACATTCATTACACGTTTCACCTGGAACAAAAGCCCAGTATGGTGACCCCACTGTTTCACCAAAAGTCAGTGTTGCTCTACAGACTAGAACCAAAAGTATGCCCACATTGCAATCAGAAGACTACAGCGGCTTCTCCAGTTATGCATGAGGTGATAGTTTTAAATTCACCATCTTCAGGATCAGCAATACTGAACTACTTACTGATGCATGCAGGGGCCCAAGATGTCAAGAGCAGCCCAGTTAGTGGCATTTGAACTCAGCAACTTCTAGTCATCTGGGAATGCCTACCAGAACTGGCTGGTGTCCTACCATGTGTAAAACAATTTTAGCACAGGAACCATTCCATAACTAGAGGTGGACCTGAACTACAACTCCCAGAACACGCAATCATTTGGGGGTAGATTTTTGGATCCTTGCTGAGATTTTATAACATCATTCAATTCGCAGCTGTGATGCTAGAATTATGATACCTTACTGTGAAACCCGAAGATAAAGTGAAGCCCTAGGCGAAGTGGCACATCTCCCATTTAGTAATTACAGCTGATATAGACCTTCCTGTATAAGGAAGGAATCAAAGACAGGGAAGGCTGATGCCGTCAAAAATTGGAAAGACGAAAATAGATGTGCAAAGATTCTTTCACTGAGGAAAGTTCAAAAAGCATCTAGTTCAAAACAAGTTATTCTCTCAAACAGAGACTATGTGATCTAGTCAGAGCCAGCCCTCACCCAACAAGAGCATTGTAGCAAACCCACCCTCCTTCCCCAATCGCCATTATTAATTGATGAGAATATGCGAAAAATATCCTCCCACTTCCCTTCCAGAGTGTGCTGGAGCTGATGCCTTTCTGCTAAAGGCAGGTTTGGCTCACAAGTTTAAATTTAAATTTGATGACTAACATATACAGCACTCCCTTAGGCTTTGCTCATGCAAAATGAATGCAACCCTGCTGTCTACAGACCTCGCGTCAGTAGGGTTTCAGTTTTCTTTTAAGCTCTTAATAAAAGATATGTCTTTTCCTACCTCAAGGGAAACCAAATAGCTAAATATTTCATTCACAGATATTTTTTAAATGTCTCCTCTATTTGGTTGCTGAATACATATTTTGCCCAGCTTGGGTGGACACAATAACGGAGAAGTCTTTTGTTGTTTAGTTTTCTTGGGAACTGTGGATGTTTCTATTTATCTTCGTATCAATCACTATTAGGCCATGCAGTTACTTATCTCCTATAATTCATTAATTTTACCTATTTGTTGGAATATTTTTCCTGTAAATGCAGATGTCCCGCTTTCACCCACGTAAGTCCTGTAATTAGCCCATAAGCACTAGTAAACACCCTGGCAGAACCAGCAATGACTTATATGATGAAGGGTTTATAGCTCAGCCACAGTGGAGAACCAGGACACTGGAAAATACAATTTCATTCTAGGAGACAAGGATGAGAAATAATAAGCAATAAAAAGTTGAGGTGATTTACTGCTAATCTGCGGATGTATTTGGATATTAAAAGTTCACAGAAAAGAGAACGTCGATTCACAGTAACACGGGAGCATTATCAAACAGGCAATGCCAACGGGAAGAGGTGCCTGGTTATCCCCTTACTCTGAACTCCACCTGTTTCTATGGATGGAATTCTAGTCAGCATAACAGAGGAAACATAATCATGTGGAATGAAACAATCAGTTGTCAGTCTGTGGCTGCTTCATGTATATTATGAGACACAGTTATCTTCTTGATAACTTCATCATCGTATACAAGACAGCAGTTCTACTTCTAGCCCTTTACTTTTCTTTCCATGTATTTGAAGGAAGATCCCCCTCAGCCATGAAAACTTTGGTGCTGGAAGTGAATATTCCTCTCTCGTGTTGATTTAAAGCCTTTTGATAGCTCCTGAGGGAGCTGTTTCTGGCCAGCTCCCTGTCCCCGCGACCCCTGCCTTGCCCTGGAAGGGTAAGCCATCACCCTCTGCGGCCGCGCAGCTGGCCCGGCGGCCGTCACAGCAGCCCAGTCACAGCTAAGCCGAGGGGATTTGCGAGGCGTGCAGCTGTAAGCAGAAGATGTGAATGTAGATCAGGCCGCCTTGTTTACACAGAAATGGCCTTTAGACTGCAGCGGAATCAGAGGCATCTGCCAAAACATCCCATAGAGAGCTAAGCACTAAGTCAGAACAATAACAGCAGCAAGCAACTTCCCATCATTCTTCCAGCATTCCTCAGTTTTTCATGAACTTTTTGTTTTGTTTTTGCAGCTAGTGGTGTGCTAGCTGTGTTGCTGATTGTTATATTTCTGGACCAGATCAAATCTGACCAAGCAGAGACTGAAAAAGAAATACTTGAGACACCATCCTTTTGGTCTACGTTCCTAGCAACTTTCCAGCATCTTAAAGATAAAAGACAGTGTCTTCTAATCCCTCTGACAATGTACAGTGGGTTTGAACAGGGATTTCTTTCTGGTGACTACACAAAGGTGTGGATGACAATGAAAATCTATTTCTGTCTGGTTTTGTGCCTTTATGTCTTATTACTGCATCTGATCTATATTTATTTGCTAAATGAAGATGTTTTAAATGGTGATTTGTGGTTTTCTAAATTACTGCTTACTTCTGCTTGAATGAACTCTGAGTGACATCTTCAAACAGGAGAGGCTAGCAGTAAATATGTCCCTTGGAACAGCCTCAAAATGAGCACTGGAGAGAGCTTAACTCACCAGTGGAGGACACAGCAGAAAGCTACAGGTTCAAACTCTTCAGCTTGTTGTAAATAACAAACTGGGAGAAAAGCCAGAAGTCTGCAAAGCTTTTATTTCTTCCTTCCTTCTGGTTTCCCTAGAGTTTGCATAAATGCAAGTCAGCACACATACCACATATTTTATTTTGATAACTTTTACAGTAAGAGGGCAAATCCTCAACGTGACTGGCCAAAAGCCCTCATCAGTCACTAGTGCAACAGGTCCAAAACCTGATGGACCAAAATGATCAAAAGCACCTCTGCTCCTCCAATTTCTCTACAAACCTAGACACAGAGCAGATGTTTTCTCTAGATGTTCATCGAGAAAGCCTCCAAAGAAAGAGGGCACTTCCTGAGATGCTTTCAGACCTTGCATATAAGCAAAAAACCCCCTTGCATATAAGCAAACAACCCCCTTGCATATAAGCAAACAGAAGAACCTGCTTGCTGCTGTGTTTGAACAGGTTGAAAGGGGCGCTTCATGGCCACCTCCATTGGTGATATGCTCTTATAGTTGAGGTCCTCTTCATTTCTTGGGAGCTGCTCTGTAATGACCACAGTCCTGACTGTCATTTTTCATCTCTTGGGCTATGAAGGGCAGAAAATTCCTTGTGAGACTTCCAGGAGTTTTATTTGCATAATGAGCAGTGCTCTGATTTCTTCTGCTTGCTACTGCTCTGTTTGCATGGCATCAGCCTGACTGGGAACTAGGTTAGGCATATCGCTGCTGAAGGCCAACTCTGCCAATACCCCAGGGACTTCTCAGCAAACTCTGGTGCTGTGCTCCTTTGATCTCGTCCGTGCTGGCTATTTACCGAATACTCAGGCTAAGACACTTGAACTTTAGCTGCATATTTTCACTGAGGACGACGTGGCACCACTGTTTCTTCTCTTCCAGGCATATGTGACCTGTGCCCTGGGCATACATTACGTTGGTTATGCCATGATCTGCTTTTCAGCTGTAAATTCCCTCTGCTCCCTGCTCTTCGGAAAGATCTCTCAGTTCACGGGCAGAAAACTTCTGTTTGCATTAGGTATGTAAAGGTCACTTGAAGGACTGATCACCTCATATAATGTATCAAACACAGTGCTCCCTCTTTTGCATGCACTACAAAGGGAGAGTTGGCTGTCAGCTATCAATCAAGATCAAAGTCAATCTGGAGGCAAACTTCTTTCATGAGAGGAGAGGCAGCACAGTTAACCACTGTATTGAGGTCATTGCCTTATATCACTTTGCTGGTGTTGTAGTCCACCCTGCTTCTGACGGCACTATCTACTCAGAAGTTTCCCCATGGCTTTGAGGCTTTATAGCTCTAATGCAACCAGTGATAAATGAACTTACAATAACGATGTTGAGGCCTACACTATATCTGAGAAAGATTTCTCCATTGGGATGAAACCTCCTCACCATTAAGGGGTGAAAGCAGCTGAGAACCTTGGGAGACACAGTGTTGATTTGAGTTTCAGGGGATGGTGAACTGAGCAATTTCAGCAACCAGCCAGGGAATTTCAGGAAAATTTTTAAAGGTTGGCCTAGTATCCTTTTCACTACTTGTTCTATAAGAAGAAAAATAAAACAAAGTCATATGGCAGTGTGTCTAGATAGAATAACTTGAGGGCTCGTGTACGGGACAGTAATTTTCAAGTTGCCATGAAAAGAGATTTGTATATTTAAGAATACCTCCTTCTCCAGAGAACACTCTTCTTATTAGTAAGAGTGTAACAGAGAAAAAAAAAACCCCAAGAATATTTCATTTGTGTCCTTGTATCCACTAAGCATACTGAAGTGTACTAATACTTTATTTCCACTAAACCCAGTAACCTTCATTATTAGAAACGTCACTAACTGAGCAAATGTGCATCTAGACATTCTAGGCATTTTCTCCATAGGATATTTTAAACTTTGGCAAGGAAGAAGAAACTGAGAGTCCCTTATGCTACACTTACTAGTTCAGAGATACTCCTTATGTCCCAGGTGTATGTCTTACTCTATGAAACTCATTTTAGATTAAAAAAAGCACAACACATAACAACGACGACAACAATAATAATAAACAACTATAGTCTTAGTAAAGCGAGACCTCTGAACCTCTCAGTTCTGTTTAATGGTCTTTGTACTCAGCCTGTGAAGGTTGACCTGTGAGAGAAGAAACCAATGACTCATTTACAAACCACTTCTGAAAAGAAAGACAAAATGTCACCAGACCCTCTAGATATTCTTAACTGTCTCCTCTGTCCCTGAAAGCAAATGTGCATTTAAGGACTAGGTAAGGAGAGCAGAAGATGCTTCCTGCCCCTTTCCACATGCCTCACACGGTGACTGCATCTTTTAGCAGCGCTTTCTCCTACTCAGTGGCAGTTCTCGTCCTTTGGGCTAACAGCACAAAGCATCAGCGCTGAGGAGCTCTCAGTTCAGGACACCACTCAGAAGTATTAATTTATGACTGTCAAAGGACTGTATTGTCTTGTATTTCATGTGATTTCAACTCAGCTGGTGCAAACCTCAGTGAACTGGAAAGATTTCAAGATTGTCTTGTGTTCTAGTTGGGGGAAGAACTTGAAAGTGCTACCCACCACTGTCTGTCCTGTTTGTAACTGCATTTATATTTCTCTTCTTTCTAAATCAACAGCCGCAGTTGCAAACACTGCCTGTATAATAGCGCTATTGCTGTGGAAACCTCATCCTAAGCAGCTTGCTGTGTTCTTCGTATTCCCTGCTCTTTGGGGCCTATCTGATGCCATTTGGCAGACACAGACTAATGGTAAGTCCCAGTGACAGTGAAATGTATTCTCCTGAGATATAAAAGTCTGCTTGTTTGTACCTATAAAACAACACACATATAAAACTTATAATGGGTTTAAGACAGCATATAGAAGAAATTTGTTAGCTCATTGGAAAGTAGAAGAAATAAGAGTAAGTTGGGAATAAGAAAGTAAAACACTCATGAAATGTTCTGTATGTAAATGCATGCAGTTCTAGTTTGCTCTATTTCAAAAAACATAATCCAGTGTGATAAGTCATAGGAAGGCAATAAAAAGTAGCAGAGTCATGGGAGACATCCACCTGAAGGCAGACTGAAAAAACCAGAACACTTTAGCCTGGTTAAGTGTTAAGTAAGGAAAGCAGTCAGTAAAATCATTAATAGTATGGAGAAGGTGATTAGAAATTCATTATTTCCTTTAGTAACAGAACTAATGGCACCAAATAAAGTTATCCGGTGGCAGGGTATACAGGATTTCTAGAAATCAGAAGAAAAGCTTTTTTCATACAATGCATAGTCAAAGTATGGGATTCATTGCCAAAAATGTAAATGATTTTATGATTGAATGACATCATTTCAGGAGAAAATGTTCCCGAGGACTACTAAAGCCTAGTGGTCCAGAGGAAATCTCTAACTCAGAAAGTCCCTATGTCTTTGCTTGCCAGAGTGAGGAGGGCATTGTGGGGGAAAAAAATCACGGTATACTCCCTTACTTCTTACACGCCTATGAGTCTGTTACTGGAAGTATACCACTGGACTTCTTATCTGTTGTATTATGGTTGTTCTTAGAAACTTCTATGTTCTTTTTCTTTGTGATACAGTGCAGTTATTAAGTACTGACAGTTCAGATGAGGTTATACAACCCGACTTCCATAAGGGATTATTTAAACTTATCCCTCAATCAACTCTAAAGGAAGTTCTCTTACAGAGACTAAAGACAGACTCTAAAATGCTGGGAAGGGCAAGAAAGAGCTATAGACTGTGATGACTTGAAGTAAATTCTGCTCATTACTGTTAGTCACTGCCAGAGTACTGTGTCAGTAAGACAGTTAAATGCCCTCCCATCTGCTCCCACATTTTACCTCTTATTTCATGAATATGGTTTTCCTCTATCTCAAATTCATATTTGGCAGATGCCATAGGAATATGTATGTGACAGACCTAGCTCACCTAGGCCCACACTAGCTTATGTGCCTTGCCCTTGGCTCTTGTCCCTCTGTTTGCTTCAGTAGCTCAGATGATTTCACCCACTAGATAAATTATCATTTTCCTCCTAGAAAGCCAAAGGGAAAACCCCATAGCCCTTTGCCCAGCACTGACTGACCTTCTTTCAAGCAAACAGAGAGTCCTTACCTCTACACACAAGGAAGTGACCGGCTAGACTTCTCTCATCCTCGCCCACAGCCTTGTGCCTTTGGTATAATTTTAAATCAGGGCTCTCGTCATTCAGACTCATGGGAGAACATAATCAGTGAGGATTTTCTCTCTCTGAAGTAAAGCTGTTCATTCACACCCTTCTTCCTCACCTACAGTCTTCCTCATTGTTCATCAGGCTTCTTCCCAACATTCTTGAGGGGCAAAAGTCTTTCACTGGGAATGGAGCCTGCCTTTTATCCTCCTTCTCTTTTTTCCAGAAAGCCTTGTCCTCAGACACTTGGCTTCTTTCAGAATCACAGAAGGGTTGAGGTTGGAAGGGACCTCTGGTCCAACCCCCTTGCTCAAGCAAGGCCACCCAGGCAGGGCCATATCCAGTCATCTTCTGAATATCCGCAGGAAAGGAGAACGCACACCCTCCCTGGGCAACTTGTGCCAGCATTCAGTCACCCTCACAGTGAAAAAGTTCCTTCCAGATGTTCAGAGGGAACCTCCTGCACTTCAGTTTGTGCCCACTGCCTCTCATCCACTTTTCTTTGACACCACTGTAAACATCTTGGCTCCATCCTCTTTGTACCGTCTCTTCAGAGATTTACGTACATTTGAGATGTCCTTTGCAAAGGGTATGTTCTCAGTAAGATCCTTGCAAGTCTGACCTGATGCCCTCGCTATGAAAAAAGGGGTAAGTACAGAGGACCTAAGTGTTAGAGAAAGAGGCTGGGAAGTGGCTGCAGTTCCCAGTCCCCAGATGAGGCACAGGCAGTAGACAACGCTTCATGCTTACTTGATGGCAAGTAAGCTCTGCAGCTACGTGACAAGACTGACCCCTATTACAGCACTGTAACAGGTCATCTCTGTTCCAAGATTCCTGGAAGATACTTCTGAAAATTTCATGTTTGTATTATCTGGGAAAAAACCCCCAAACATTCCTTATACTTGTACAGTATGTTTTTTTGTCTGTACCTTCTTCACCTGTTTCACAGTTCTCAGTTACAAAAGTATACAGTTTGCTTTGTCACATCGTCATACTGAAATATAGGGTGATGACACAACCCTTTATCAGAGAAGTGCAGTGACATTACTCTGTGCTACACCGCAGAACAGCATCTTCAGTTTGACATTCCCATTTAGGACTAAATCTTCTCCCCTTCATCAGTTTTATACAGATACACATCACATGAGAAATTCCCAGCTCCAAAGGCTATGAGGTGAGATAAGACCTTTAAAACAGCATTGGGGACTAAGGCCTGTGGTCCTTCCTTTGATAAGTTCCCATGACTACTGCCTGGGCCCCAGTAGATTAGCCACTGAATAAATACAATGGCACTGTGCCACGTACTTAGGGCACTCTGTGTTTATGGAAGATGCCTTACTTTTGTCTGTTGTGTATAGTTAATACCGGGGTTCCCCCTAGAGGGGATATATAGACTCATAGTAGCTGAGTCACTTCATCTTACAAAGGTTTCTTACCATGTCTGTGTACGTGTGTGGACACTCATCATTTATTTCCAATGAAAGCTGCTTCATTCCAAAGTATGTAATGCCCTGTCTTATCTAACCTGAACACAGATGCTATTATTAACCCCTGGCAATAACTGCCCTTGGGGCATAACAATAGTGTAGCATAGAGCTGTCGAGTAGACTATATCAAAATAAAGTTCTCCCCAGGCTGACGTCTGTCTTTAGAAAGGATATGAATCAGTCTGGAAAGTTTATAAACCTGTACTCAATTTCCAGCAGTCCTATTATATACCCATGCCTGCTAGTACCAGAGGAAGGAGAGGGAAAACAGGCAGTGGTAAACAGGGAGCCTAATATCCATGGAAGTGAGCTGCAAGAATTCATACCTAGCAGCCTGGCAGGTCCTGCTAAAGTTTCAGCCAGGCAATTTGCACCACACTGCGCTTGACAGCATTTGTGATAAGGACTAAAGTTTAGGTTTGAGGCAAAACCACCACTGTGTTCCTATGTAACTCCTAGCTGATACCACACACACATCCTGGAAACAAGAACTTCCCTGCCAAATCAGTCCTTCCAATAGCTGAACCTTGGACAAGATCCTCACTCAGTTCTCCCACTGACTTGATTGAAAAAGAAGGCTTAATAGCGAGAGAAAACAGGTACCAGCTGAAAGCCAGGATCTTTACATATAGAATTGCCATAGCATCGGAAAATTTCCTATATTAAACTCTCCTCACTAATCCCTTTCCAGAAGATAACACAGGGCATATCAGCAAAGTTACATGAACAACTTGTACTTGTTTATTTATTAGGCAAAACTATGAAGGATTATGAAATAATTCACACTACACTGCACTCAGACAGTTTAATGAACTAAGCACATCTTGTGATGCACTTTTCCAGATTTTCCATCATGCCTAAATTGAAACATTCAGTCAATGTCCTCTTACAGTTAGCAAGCTGCAGTAAGTTCTTATACATAGATAACTTCCCCTTCTTACAAAACTGAGGGGTTAGTTCAGCCTACCCAGACTTCTAGAAGACTTTGTACTCCCCTGTGCCTTTTGGCTGAATATGCGTATTTCACACAGATGTGCTGTTAGAGAAGTGGGTGAGAGAAGTCAAGGTTCACGATACTCCTCCCCTCCCCTCCCTGCACACCACAGCTGAGTCAGTGGAAACGCCCACTTCTTTATCACCTCTGAGCTAGCTCAGCACCAGAGGAAAGCAAGTCTTCTCCCTTTCCCTCACTCCCGGTTGTGGGTGTGCAGCTGACTGTGAACATGAGCTTCTCAGTGAACACAACTGCATGAGGATGATCAGTTTAACTAAGTCTCTATGTCAAGCAAGTTTTCCAGTAGCTGCCCAGGGATTCTGTGTGTATCAAGAATATTCATTTCTGACAGCCCACCTAGGAGCTGAAAATCTGAAAACCTGGTGGTTATCTGAGAGAGGCAAGTCTACTCTGCGTATTAAATCCAAGCCCACTTGTAGCGCTCTCGACAACTTTCTGGTTTAATTGTTTCGGGTCAGTTTGCTTCTCTTGACTTGGCAAGTTTGACCAGCACGTTACCACCAGCTGTGTGAGCCTCACTTGGGGCCTCCCTGAGGCCAAGATCTGGTGAAAGCAAGGGACATGTATTTTATGTGAACAATCTCTGCATGTTCTTAGGTGGGTGAAAGACATAGTTTGAAGAACAGGCAGACAGCTCATGCAGGGTCCATGCAGGTTCCCGCAAAAGTGTGGAAGGATGGCAGCAGGGAGGCCCCCATGGTTCTCTGATCCTTTCTACCTCACACTGAAAGAGCAACTTGGTCCCTAAGGACCACATTGTCACTAGACAAAATCAACTGTTGTGTGAAACCTGTAAGGATTTGGTATAACCTTCCTAACAGCTACACATTGAGTCTCTACTGTGTCAAGGGCCACTGGTGGACATCTCTTCTTCCTGCTTACATACTCACTCGTCAGTGCAAGAACCTTCCTTTTTGTGGCTGATTGAAAAATAAACTTCCTGCCATCTCACTTCAATATTATTATTTCTTCCCTCCTCCCATTTAACTCCATTTTTCTATGATATTCTCTATTTTGTCGGTTTTGCCCTGGTTTTTTTTCACTTATAACAACTCACAGGAGCACAAAAATGTTTAAGCTTGTGTTTTCTTTTCTCTGACATTCACGAAGGAGGGCCTGTCTTCCCCACTATGGTCCACATATTCCGTTTGTAGAAAATAAATGGTTGCTGACTTAATATTCACAAGCCATGTCTCTCTTTTCTTCTAGGACTCTATGGCATTTTATTTGAGAAACACAAGGAAGCTGCCTTTGCAAACTACCGTCTCTGGGAATCACTTGGATTTGTCATTGCCTATGGTTATAGCACCAAACTGCAAGTCTACATCAAACTGTACATCTTACTGTCTGTGCTTGTGTTGTCTATGGTGACATATGGAGCAGTTGAATTCCTTGAAGCTAAGAGCTCCCCTGGGTCACCTACTGCTACAAAGAAGAAAAAGGTAGGACCCCTCACTCAAGAAACACACATGTAATCGAACAGGGTCAGAGCAATGGAGGCAAAGCAAACTGCCCAGCTCCTACAGGCATGTCTCCAAGGGTGTTTCAACCTGTACTGTCTCCTGAAAGATGGCAAAGGAAGAGACTTCAAGGCCAGTATAATGCCAATGTCTTAGGAGTAAAAATGTCTTTTGATGTATCAGTTTTACACAGGAAGATTATTTGACTTCACCCTTTCATATGGCAACCAACCAAATGCTTTCTCTTTTTTTAATTAATAAATGTAAACAAGACTCTTAAATTCCTCGCATTTTTGTATCTTTGGATCAGACCTAGTACCATGGCTTTATAATCAAACCTGAAAAGCCCACATGCAAAATCAGATGTCAGCTGATTGCAGACAACACATGTCATTTCACAGAACAGCTAGTAATAAAGATTAATATTGTTCTTATCCTGCATACTCTGACATTTGCTATAAATAACATCAAATTATAAACTGACTATATCTACGGTCCATATCCAAACACCACAAAATCCACTAACCAATGGTCCACCAACATGTCGTAGGCCAGCAGACTGTGTTTCTGCCCAATGTCATCCCTCTATTCTAGCACTCTTTCTCCTTTTCCTGTCTCCATTTTTTCTGTCACCATTTACAGCAGCTTTCTCCCAAAAGACATGCTTTCCACATGACTAAATAGTTGAGTCATAATGAACTTTCCTCACTTTCCCATCCACAGAGAGAGCTCTTTTCAAGATAAGCAGTCAGAGCATGTTACCTGGGGAATCCAGCCATGAAGAGGATGCAGATAACAGTGCCAGTCATACAGTGAGGAGGAGAAAATGAGGATGGGCCCATGCTGTAATATCTCCTTGAGATCTATATGCATCTAGCAGTAGCTCAGAAGAAGACTTCCCTCGGCTCATTTCCAGTTCTGTTTAGTTATACTGCCAGGACAAGAGTGCTACAGTTCAGCTACTGGGCAATGTCCCCACTTCTTGAAAAGAAAGCACTGTACAGGTATCAGGATCACTACTGGTAATGACACTATGATCAGATCCTCTGTGTGAGGCAGACAGCTAAAAAGGAATTGGAGATATATGTTCTTCATCTCCAAGTGTAGTGCTGCCCCTGGAAATAAGTGGCATGACTAGTTAAGTTGCTGCATGCCATGGAGCTAATATTTGAAACTACTTCTTCTCAGTTATTAAGGATAGGATAAGGATGAGGCACCATAGGGTGTGACAACATGATAGAAATCAATAATACAATTTATGTGGAAATAAATTCCCAAATTGTTAGGGCTTTTAAATAACAGTACCTTTCATGGTACTTTTTTGTGTCCAAGCATCTGGACTCCCCTCGAGACTTCACCTGTGCTGATACATGGCTTTTAAAATGATAAGCTTCTTTTCCAGGTTTCATACAATTAAATAGAGTTCATTATGTCCTGCAGAAAAGGTGACAGGCGAGATCTTCACAGACTCACCTTTCTGTTGTGCCTTTGCCTTGTCAGCTCAAAGGCATGCTGCTAATCTCTGTTGGAAATGGTAAAACTACTGTGGCTGCAAAGTCCTGAGGTCTCCCAGCTGCCCAGAGATTACAGATGGATTTCCTAGGCTGCTGCTGATTCTCCTCCTCCCCTGCTTCCATCTGATACAGAAACTTGATTTCATCTCAATAACAAACAGTGAAACACATCACATCCTCCTCTGATTCTTTTTTACACAGCAATGTTTAATAGCAAGTCAAGCAAAGAGGAGTTTTATGATCAACATCAGTGAAAATCTGATCTCTGTGAGAATGTAAGAATTTATTGTTTATTTGTAACAGCCTAACACAGAAATTGGGATCTCACTATATGAGATGCTATATAACCTCAGAACAAAAAAAATGATCCCTCCTTACACATCTTAACAAGTTTTTCGCTTTACTCCTATAGTGGGTCTGGCTGGGCTGGAGTTAATTTTCTTCATAGCAGCCCATATGGTGCTGTGTTTCAGATTTTTGTAACTAAAACAGTGTGGATAACACCCTAGCGTTTTGGCAATTGCTGAGCTGTTCTTGCACAGTGCCCAGGTTTTGTCTTTCCCTCACTCTACCACCTCAGTAAACAGGTTTCAGGTGACCGAGAAATTGGGATGTAATGCAATCAGGACAGCTGAGACAGACTGACCAAAGGGATATCCCACACCACCTGATGCCATGCTCAGCAATAAAAGCTCAGGGGAAAGGAGGAGGAAGTGGACATGTACACAGAGGTGTAGCCATCTCAGGGGACACTAGCTTTGGGCTTTGATGTTGTAGCCAGATGAATTCCTTCCAAGTCATGTGCCTGAAACCTTCAAGATCTTTAAACCCAGCAATGCGTAAGAGGCCTGCTAGCGCTGACCTACTGAATGCCCTGTGTTCTCTGGAATCCTCAGTCCCTAACTGCACTTCCCTAGAAGTTTAGGAGGAGGGTCAGGCCTTCACACAAGAGAACCAGGAGAAAATGCAAGTAATGAGGTCACTGAGTGAGGGGCCACCTATGCCAGACAGGAGAGGACAGCTGAGACATTTCTTTGAGAGACTTCAGGGTCTGAGGCTAGGTCACACACCAGTCTCTCTGGAGGAGGCAGGGGTCAGGGGGCCCAAGGATTATGGCACTCATCTGCAGCATAAATAGATTCAATAATTAATACTGATACATTAAGTAATCACTTTCATGAGGCAAATAATATCATGGTGTCTTATGGCGTGAGCCACAGGTGCAAGCAGCTGCAGGGTCTCAAATGCACACACAGAAGGGTGGGCCCTTTAGTCTCGAGGTCCCCGAGCACCGCTGCCTGCGTGTGCCTGGGCCTGAGCCTGCACTCGGCCTGGCGGGGCAGGCTCCCTCCATAAAGCCTGGGGGACCGGAGGTCTGTTCTGGGCAGGTCGCTCCAGAGAGAAGAGCGCACCCTGAGCGCGCGGTGCAGGAGAAGGGGGAGCTGCAAGCAAAGGGTCTTCTCCCTTCTGGGCGCCCCGGGTGTGCGTCTTCCCCGCGGAGGCTCGAGCGAAAAGGCTGCGGCAGGCGGCTAAAACAAGAGCAGCCCCTGC